TATTTTCCAGATGTGCATCTCTGACATCAAGGCTAAACATCAGTGATGGGCTGCAGTGAAATCAGAGCACCAAGGAAACAGAAGAATGGAAGATTTTAGCACCACAGCCAGTGGTACTATTAGAGCTTTTTGGAGGGTATGTGATGGGGCATCTGCTGTGGCACAGCAAATCATTAAAGCTTCCATACATTTAAAACACAAAAAACCTTGAAGCAATATTTTCCAACCTTTCACTAAGAGCAGGGGCCAAAATCACAGATTTTAAAGGTCTTCCACAGCTTTATTATTAGAAGTAGGAACCCTACTGATACCGATGAGTCATTTGTATTGGCGGAAACCAAGAACACCCATTTTCTTCAAGTGTTACAAAGCTCTCAATGTGGTTTTCTATTCATTACTGGTCAAAGTATTTGACTAAAAACAAAACAAGTGACAAGAGCTCACCTTTTTGTTATGAAAGCCTGTTTCATACCAGCTGATCTTGTTTACCATGTTTTTACAAATTAATGAAAAAGGAAGAAAAACACAGAAGACAACTGAGGACTTACAAGTCAGTAGCAGTAAATCCAGAACTGCAGGAGGATAATTCTCTCAGCTGATGTAAGGGCTTTTGTGACAGACTGAGAAAGAAAAAGAAAGGAGGGAAGAAAAAAAGCCATAACAAGATCAGTTAAAAATCCCTAGTCAGCAGAAGCTATCATTTTAGGATCTGTATGAGTAATCAGAAGGGAGACCGTAAATAAAGAAACAGTTGTATACAAGAGGGCAAGTTTTCATCCTCATGCAAATGAAGGAATCCTTTCGCACTGTGGGCAGGATTACTGCTGCAGGGGTAGAAGCCAGGTTCTCAGAGACAGGAAAATTCTGAAAATTAAAGACAGGCTACAATAAAGGTTTTTAAAGGTTAATCAGAATTCTTCACCGGCTTCAAAGGTTTCTGCCGGGGAAAAAAAAAAAAAAAGAAGGGCTGCAGGATAAGAGCCTGTAGGGCTGGTAACTCTCAAGAGAAAATACTACTTGCATGTGGGTCTTGCTGTATCCAAATTGGGAACAATGCATTGGTGGATGTTTTTGGTAAATCAAACATCCCATTCATAAAACCAGAAACAAAACAAACCCCAGAGGGTCAGTCCTGCTGGACACGTGTCACATCCAGATGTACTTCAAGCACAACAAACAGCAGCCAGCCTTAACGGCAGCATGCTTCAGTCTGACTAGGAAGACACCACAACGGAAGCAGTGACCAGAGAACCAAAAACAACCTTTGCACGAAGGGTCAGCACTGCCACACTCCTACTGTGGGCAGCTGACAGCAGGGAGCTACGGGCTGCACCAGACACGTGAGTCAGCAGGAGCAGCCCGCAGGAACTGCTGACACGTAGGATTGCTCGCACACGCGCCCAGTACACCTACTGCTAAACAGAGAGCAGGCAGCATGCAAATCGGGCCAAAAGTACACCTCCATACTCACAGTTCCTGTTTTCCTAGTTCAGGCTTCAATTTTAAAGCAATCACTAATGAAGGGAAGGAAAAAAAAAATAAAAAATACAACACAACAGAAAAACAATCCTCAATGGATGTCAGCTATAATAAGTAGCTATGATGAAGTCTCAAGGGTCATTTTGTTTTAGCTGCTTTTATTTAAACAGACATAACTGCTTTGCCTCTTTTCCAAGAGGAAAACTGCTGCCACACAGCCCAGAAGAGCATGGTGATGAGCAATAGGCAGCTCCTGCTCCTCTTAGCAGAAGAGCTCTGAACCTGTGCACCACAACCCATCCACCCATCACCACATAGGCTGTGCGCTGTCAAAGCTCAGGATCAAACATCAAGCCTCCAGCTTTCATGTAATCTCCTACTTGGGGCAAATGGGCAGTTTCCCAAGTTCTCCTGTTCCTAATTGCTGCCTCTTCTGTTAATAGCATAGCAGAGGAGGTTATTGTTCAAGTGACACACAGATTTCAGAAGTAAACCTCAGAGGAGCTGCCCCTTTTCAGTTTCAGCACAGCTGGTCATCCTCAGGTTGTTTCTCCAGCTCTCCCAACAAGACCACCACAACCAGCAGAGAAGCCTCCCAAATCCTATTTTTGATTGATGGAGCTAGGCTGTGCACGCAAACTCGCAGCACAAAGGTTTACCAGAACTTCATCCCTTCTTTCTTTTTATTTAGCTGTTTGGAACGTGCGGTTGCTCTTTGATCCACACTTATTACTTCTGGGAATGCAGGAGCTTCAAGTCCGTCGCTGGCCACAAAGACATTGGTATGCATTCCACTGCTCGCCTGCTTTAAAATTATAATTCATAGCCCAACCGTGGCACAGTGAGTAGCACTCTTTTCAATACACTACAAAGATGTTTCTGCCTAGCTATAAAGCAAAATGAACACATTGCAACTCAGCTGGCTGCATTCATACATTTTACATCTTCTCAATGCGAGCTTCAGATGAATGCGTAATATTCAGGCAGCTGCCAAGGTTAATGTCTTTTGGTTAAATTTAAAGAAACGATGACCACTTTTTTGTAAAAAGCCGAGTAAGCAATAGAACACTATTCTGAAAAACCTCAGGGAATTATTGGGAGTGGGAATCTACTGCCCATTCTGCTACAACAAAACCGTGTGGGCACCTCTTCAAATATCAGCAGAGAACGACAGCGACAGGCACTACAAAGGCTCTATTCCCCATTCTCTTCGAGCATTTGTAGTCAGGAGGAGCCCTGAAGCAGCAGGAGTAAGCTGGGCTCACAGAAAGCCGATATTTCAGTTCAAATTGAGATTTTCTTCAGCATGCTAATGGAATGACTTTTGTATTTTCTCTCACATACTTCAGCCCAGAGACGACTAATATACAGTCGAGTACACTAATACACACCCAGAACCAGCAGAGATGGAAATTCAGACCCAGAGGTGAGAGATGGAAGCATCCATGCCTTTAAACCCCAGACAGATCTGCTAAGTGGTGTAGATACATTCCTGCATCTTGTAAACTGAGAAACCACTCAGTTTAGTCTTCCTTTCAGCAAAAAGGCATGCACATTTTGATTGAAATATATAATCCATGTTCATATGACCTAAACAAAAATTGCAAAAGACTGATTACAAGTCACGTAATAAATGCTACTCAACTTGCACCAATAGCTTATTGCACAAAAATGCCATTACTACTGAAATCATTACTTTGCATATATTAGTTACACATCTCATTTTTCAGCTGGAGCTGCAGACACTCATTTGCCGCACTCTAAGAGGTCTTTCAAAAAAAAAATAAATCTGTGCACGTGCAAAGAACATCACAGGCACACAATGAGAAAACACTTCTTTGTGTTCTCCGCTTTGAATTCTTTGAAAAGATGGGATCGTTCATTCTCCTTTTTCTATGGCTAGCAATATTTTTAGAAAAACCTTAAGGAAAGCAACTCTCAGGCAATCACAAAAAACCAACTATCGCACTTCAGAGCAAAAACACAAGCAAAGAAAGTTTTAGAAGAAGAAAGGGTGAGCTTTCTTCTTCTCCTGCCACACACTACACACCACACATTGTCTATAGGGAGCTTTATTTCCAGCTCTTTGTCACTAACTGCACACAGACCAATACATAACATCACTGGCAGTACAGGAATTTGATTAAACTCGTTAATCCCACCACATCTCTGAGGCCATCCACAATGCCAAAGGTTTACCACAGTTTCCTCACGCCAGGAGTGTCAAGTTCAAGCCTGTTTACTGGAATTTGGACTGTCGCTCTGAGCTAGCACCTCCAACTTCCCCTTGTACACAGCTAAGAGGAGCTGCCCATCTCCTCCTGCAGAACAACCAGCAAAGCAAAGCAGGGAGGAGTGGGGAGTGTCCCACCCACGTCCTGCGAGACACCAACACCAGCAGATGCCCCAGATGCGGAGGACTGAGACAACTGCCCTGGCTCTCTGCTCCCAGTGCAGGGTCTGGCACACACCAGTGGGGATTTGTCAATGTGCCCGCAGCACTCGCACCATTGCGGCGGTCAATGTCTTTCCAATTGGGAAAGTCTTCATGAATTGCATGGCAAGCACGTGTTGGAAGGGGAATTTTATGGCTTGCAGGCTGTCAGGCACAAAGCCTTGTAAAACACTGCTTTAAAGATGTTACTACAACAGCCCCACAAACAACAGCTCAACATGTGGCGTTGCCACTTCATTCCCTCCACCTCAATGGTTTCGGTATTCACACACCTGGAGATGTCAGCATATCTGAGCATTGCCAACCTCCCCCAGTGGCACAGCACAGCCTCAGACTGTCCTCAACCCAAAATGGGCTGGAGACTCCAAACACCCAACTACAATAAGTTTAGAGGCAGATGTGAAGTCTTAAATGGATTTGTGCTGAGAGAACGCTGACACACCTTCAGCTACAGCAAACTGCACTTTCACAACCACTCCACCATCCCAACACACAATTCCAACGGGCTGCCTGCCGCTCCCACTTATTATTATCCGGGGCAGCGAGGAACACACTCTGCTCCACGAGGCTGGTGCCAGCTCCTAGCACACCCAGAGTAGCCCACAAATAGCCCGTGCCACATGAGGAGCGCTGCCACTTCACACCTCGCCACGCGCTGCGGCCGTGCTCGGCATCTCCCCACAGCCCTGAGCCAACAGGGAAGGAGGGAAGCGGGGTGAGCCCGTGCACCCCAAGGTGCGGTTGTGGGAGCGACGGGGGTGGGCACGGAAGGATGGGACAGGGCCCGCGCGTGCACACATGTGCGTGTACACACGCGGGTACGCACACATCGCGTATATACAGGCATACATACGCGCACAGGTACATATATATGCGTATAAATAGGCGATGCGTACACCCAGAGGACCGCTTGCGCTCCCCCCGTTACGCAACGCGTGGTTCCCCTCGCAGCGCTCCCGCACCGCAGCTCCGCGCAACAGCTGCTCAGGGCCGAGGAGGAGAGAAGGAGGAGGAGGAGGAGGGGGAGAGGAGGAAGGCTCCCGCCCGCCGCCGCCGCCCCACTCACCTCGCCGCGCCTCCGCGCAACTTTGGGGGTCGCCGCTGTCGCTGCGCTGCGGCCGGGGGGGCTCGGGGAAGGAGCGCTGCTGCCTGTTGTTGTTGTTATTGTTTTGGAATTTGTTGTTAACCGCTCTCTGCGGTCACCGACCTACACGCGGCCCTCCTCCCCGCTAAATACGAGGGTGTTTATTTAAAAAAAAAAAAAAAAAAAAAAAAAAAAAAAAAAAAAAAGCCGCGACCCAGAGGCACATCACATGGCGCTCGCTTTGAAGCCGCTGCTCCCTGAGCTGGAGCCGTGCGGGGAAAAATAAAGGGGGAAGGGAGGAGGAGGGAAGGAGGGGGCTGGTGGGGGCCGGAGGAGGAGAGAAAGCCGCAGCGGAGAGAGGAGGAGGAGGGAAGGGGGAGCGGCGCTGCCGGAGCGGCACCGGGGCCGGCGGCGGGGGCAGCCCGGGGCCGCGCGGCCCGGCCCGGCGCGGCGCGGGCGGAAACGGCGGAGGAGGAGGAGGAGGAGGCGGCGCTGGTGCTGCTGCTGCTCCGCGGCCGCTGCTGCCCCGCTCTGCCGCTGCCCGCGCCCCGCCGCCGCGCGCGCCCCGGCCCGGCGCCGCCCCCGCCCCTCAATCGCTACATTGTTGACATTCGCCAGGCTGACATCATCCTCCCCGCCCCGCTCCATTCACAACAACGCTACGCCAACGGCGCAGCGCGCCCTCCTTCGCCCGCCGCGGTCGCTACGCACGGAAAGATGCGTACGGCCGCTCCGCGAATAGCGGCGACGCGGACGCCCCGCCCCTCCCCTGCTGCCGAGGAGGGGGGCGGCGCATGCGCGCGGCTGGCTCGCCCCCTCCTCCTCTCTCCCCCCGGGATCTCTGTGTGTGTGTATATGTGTATGTGGTGCCAGCACCGGACTCCAGCGGCCGCGAGAGGCTCTGGGAGTCGTAGTCCACCACGAGGGGGACGTGGGGGCGGCCGCCATGGCCGAGGGGTCCGCCGCGAGCGCTTCGTGCGCGGCCACCGGAGCCTCCGGGCTCCGGGGAAGGCGTTGCGGGGGTCGGGCAGGCTTAGCCGTTTGGAGGGAGGGCGAGGCACCCACCCGACCGGCCCCGGCTGCCGCGGAGCCCCGCTGTTGATCCTAGTGATATTTTACGCGCTCCGCCCCCGGAGAAACCTCATCCTCCAGCTCTTGCCAACCGCAAGCGTCCAACAGTCATGAGTCAGCCCTGCCAAACATCAGAGGAATAGATAAGCGCTCCCGAGATTAAAAACAAAAACAAACGCCCGTGAGGCCGTCCCGGCGCGGGGTGCTGCCCGCCGGCTGGGCTGGGGCGCGGGTCTCGGCAGCGAGGCCGTAGTGGCAGCAAACGCCAATAAAGAACGATGTTGACCTGCAGCTTACACAAGCACAGTTTGGTAATTAACGTGTGCCTGTCTGCTGTTTTGTCGGTGTTGGTATCACAAGTATTCATCCTGATTTTCCCCCTTTACCATTCAGTAAACGCTTTCTGCATTGTTCTTGGAGCAATTTTTGCGACGTCGTTTAACTGAACTTTGGAACTGGCTGCTGCATTTTTCAAAGTCTGCTTCATTACAGAAAACTGTGCAAAGATGGCATGTCAACACAAAATCAGCTCTTCACATGTGACGTCAGACATACTGCCACTTTTCAAAAGCAACGCTCTCCCCTGGCTTGCATTTTATATGGTTGTCTGCTCGTGTAAAGCGAGAAGCATTCTGGTTTAGCACCATGTTACCCCTGCGTTTTGTAGCTGCATGTGGCAACAGAATAATGTCCCGCTGGAGAATTTGACTCATAAACTTCAGTTTCCCTCTGCAAGTGATGCTAGTACAAAGCTTTGCTCACAAGCGCACGTAGGTTCTGGTTCTGCAGACATATGCAGTGTTTAACACATGGCGAGTCCCACCGTGTAGTGTCATGTGTTTAAATGCTAACAAGGCTGGGTCTCCGTGTCGCCTTGTATTTCCTAGAGACACAAAAATAGTTTTGTATTGGCATGGGAGATAAAAATGCTATATTCAGAAGGACTCAGATAAAAATAAGTCACACAGCATTTGTTATGCTTTACTTAGCACTCTGCACACCCATTATGTCACTGCATTCAAAGTGTGCATCCTCTGTTGTTTACAAACTGCGCTGCACAAGATGCATCTCCAGGTAAGTCAAAGCTGGTCAAGCAGAAAACTCAGCAAAAAAAATTGCATAAACCTCAGCACAGAGCACACTTTTCTGAAAAGCACAATAATTACTATTTATCTTACTGTCCAGCATTTTGAAATGCACATTACTGTTTGATGTTAAGTGAGCTTAAAGTGATTTTACTGTAGCCTGTTAGGCCTTATACTAGTAACCTGGGGGAAAATCTGACGGTGGATTTTCAAAGACAGGAGGAACGTTGCACGAACCAAACAAAATCTACCATTATAAAATGCTATTTTTATATTATGCACCTTACATTTTAATGCACTGGCTCCCTAATACAGCCCCAAACAGCATATATTGCCGTAGCACTTCCAGCCTGATCCTGTTTTGATTGCATTCAATATTTTCACACCTCAGTTTTTTGTAAATGTAGCTATTTCTGCATCTTTTTTTTTTTCCTTTTTTTTTTTTTCTTTCTTTTTGAAGCCAAACATACCTCAGACAAATGAGTTTTTTGAATAGATGTTGCATACGGTCTCTTGAAATGATCAACAGTTTGTCAAGCAACAATGCCAAAATAAGGTGAGAGCAAATGTAGAGAGAGGCAAAGTAGAAGATATTCCATGAATAGTTTAGGAATAATTCACCTAGAATGCCACAACAACATTCTCCAAACAAAGCTGCCTCAGTAGGTTTTACAACTGGCTTCAGCTCAACTTTATAGATGTAGTTCCTTACTACGTATCATCTTTACCAATGTCTTAATTAGGCAGTTTCCCCACAGCACGGTGACTTCATCCCTTCAGAGAGGACTGCCTGGCTCAGCTCGGGGCACTTGACCTACTTTCCAGTATTTTCTTTGTGGATAACACAAAACTTTCCAGAATGTTTGAAATATGAATATCTATTTCAGTCACATTTCATATGTATATTTAAAAGATTTTAAATGAATACAATATTGTAAAACACGTCCCAACATCCCTGTCTGAGATCTCGTTTGCATATCAATCTTGTAAGTTGAATAGTCTTAATAGTGCCACTTGTTGGAGAGCCCTGTGTATTGCAAGATATTTCAAGTACATATTTATGAAACAAATTGCTGTTCCCCAATAAGGAGTAATTCCTAATTTAAGGTGCTACAGGAAGAGATGGAAATATTGCACAGGACAATTTTTGCTGCAGTCGCTTCAACCAGAGTGACCTGAAGACTCTCTGAGTGGGCAACATGTTGTTAGTGGATTCAAAATCTTATGCAACTCCATCTTTGTAGTGGTAATGAAATAGTGAAAAAGGAAAATAAGGGCAAATTAATCTAATTGAGGGAATTGTAATTTCCTTCCACTGTACGTTTTACCTAGCAAGCATTAGGGTGAAAAAGATGGGCTTTCCTGGATAAGCCCTGATGCTGCACACAGTTCTAAGTCATCGTTGATAATTATGCACATACATATTCTCCTGGGTTATGCGGGTAGAATTCACGAGATTGCATCATTCTCTTTGCAGTGATTAAGAAATTCACAGTTGATTGCTGATTACGCTACAGGCGCCGTATGTCTTTTTGCAACCAGGTTCAAACACACTCCAGGTAGACTGCGTTTCCAGGAGTGCTGACAGTACGAACAGCACACACTGAGTCAGTGACTGTGACAGCTAAGAAGGAGACATTGTCGTGGTGCACGATATCAAAGATTCGCAGTGTAATATCTCCACAGCATGGCTTGACGTAACACGAAAAGCTTCACAAAGGAACATTTGCCATGCACAGAGCATCAGATCTCTGGTGTGATATTTTAAGGAGCCAGTGAGATATCGTGTTTGAAATATATTGAAGTATTAACAAAGCATTGTTGCCCAGGCTAAAATTATTGTGTCAGAAGACAAGGCAGGGAAAAAGGCAGGTGCTGACCTTTAAAATATGATGTGGATAACATCATGTGAAGAGGTTTTCAAGGAGCTCGTAGCTTCAAGAAATTTAGGGTCAAGAATCATTTTGGTTTACATACAATGTCCAAACCCTTTGTATGGTCACTAAAAGAGTTGTTAGGATCTGGTCTTTTTCTTGTTCAAAAAAAGAGCAGTGAACAATTCAGGCTGCCTGCTTGTTAGGGTTGCCAGACTTTAGTTTAGCATAGAGCGATTAGGGAAAAGCAATTGCAACACCTATCTTTGTTAGACAAATAGGATGAACAGCCTAAAAATTATTTTCATTGGTTATACGGGAGATCAGAATTTGTCAGCCTCAGAGTGACACAATTCTAACAGCCTTCTGCTGTCTTGGAGCTAAATGCTGCAAATGACAGTCCAAGTATGGCCTGCAGTGAGTCCTGGAGTCAGCTGGTGAGGTTAAGGCTTAACCTTTTCCATTGTGTCTTTGAATCAGTGCTTTCTTCTGGGAAAGAAGATTAGATCTATCACTGCTTTCATTTTTAATTATTTTTTTTACTTAGTGTGTAAACTGTGATTTACAATTCGGAGGTAATGTTTCAGAATTTATCTTTAGAATTTTATTTTAAAATACAATATAAAACAACATTATATATTAGCTTCTGGAGGTCAAGTCTTTCAAATTTCCCTATTCTGCAAGCTTAGGTGATCTCAGAGTCTCCTTCCAAGAACAGGGACATCCATAATGACATACTTAAACCGCAGTTGATTTAAACCTAAGAATTGATGCAGGCAAAACTGTTCCAGAAGTTGTCTGAGGGCAACTGTGGGCAAACCCCAACCTTGTTTTAGCTAAACTTACCCTAAATGCTTGTTTTTTTCAACAACCTCTCTCTTATCTGGAAAATTATGTGAAGATACCTGCAGCAAACCTTAAGAACATGGACCTTGGCAAGTCCATCATGCTGCAAATGAAAGAATGCATAGGATAAATGGGAAAAAGGTGCTCACTGCTGAGCACTGCTCAGAGAAAGAAATCTTCTAAGTCTGGAAAACAAGGAGAGCATGCAGAGATTGATCTAGATGTGATGGGGCTGCATTTGAGCTCCAGACACTACATACCAGGTAGGACATTTATTTTGGTTCCAGCCCTCATTCGAAAGTGCAGAGATATTTCTGAGCAATCTCAGTTCCAGTTCTGATATATCAGAGCACACCAGTATTCAGTGAGGATTTCATTCAAAGTTATGATTTTGGGAAGGAATGGAAAATGGGAATAAAAAAACCCACCAACTCTATTCCGTGGTGAGAGATTACTATTTTTAAGGAGTCTTTTACTCTGTGTAGTCTTTAACATCAATGAGAGTTTATGCACACGCACCAGTGGCTGACTAGACCCGAATTCAT